GGTAAAATGACAACTTGCCCCGCCTCCATGCCAAATTAACAATACCCTAGAAGGTGCTTCATGAAATTCAGAAGAGATTTTGTTTCTTAACCCTTTTTTTTCAAATTACTATACCCTCAAGTGCGGAAATTCAGAAAGAAAGACTTACTTTTGCAATAACAATCGCATTGCTCTTCACATGCTTTACACAAAGCCATGCAAATCGAGCATCTTGAAACTCATTTTGCTCAGGACCCTTCTCAGAGACAACATTGAAGTTGATATCTTCTGGTGTCAGATCATCTGCTTCCTGAGCCAGCCATCCGCCACCAACTTGTCTTAGGGAGAGTTTTCCTCTGTCATTTTTACTAGCCTCGAGTATTCTCAAAGTTTTCGACTTTCCACGAAGTACTTCAAGTCCCTTCTCTGAGTACTTAGGAGCAACGACAATCTCATAAAACATACGAGTCTCGCCATCGGTTGGACTTCTAAACTCTCTAATATCTCTAGCGAGGGCCTGTCAGACACACATGAAAGCTGGTTTGTTACTGCTTAAAAACGGTAAATATAAAGTCTGAATGACATTTGTTAATATGTTAGCTAGAGCTCACAGCCAACCATTTTCCACTTAAGAATACTGGAAGGTCTCCCACCCTAGCCCAACTAAAATAAAGAGAGAAAAAAATAAATCAACTAACCTCGTCAACTTCAACATTGAAAGCTACGATGCTACCAAACGCACTAACTGGGTCTGCTTTCACAGCCAGTCTATATGCTTCAATAATATCATCACGTGATGCCACTCCGCAGGGATTAGTGTGCTTCACAACCACACAAGTTGGCTTACTAAATTCGCACACACAATTCCATGCTGCATCGGCATCTAAGTAATTATTATATGACATCTCCTGCAAGGAAAAGATACACAAGTTGCTAAAAAAGTTATGTTTACAAAAGAAGCTACTGAATTATAGAACTTAGAAACAATAGTTCATCATAACATGATACGAAGAAGTAATAACCCAAGTGTAATTTTGTGGTTGATCTATTCAGGTAGAAACACTCAGTGTGACAGACATTTCAACAAAATGTACTGCTGCAGAAAATGCACAGCATATTCGGTGAAATTACTTGAGGTCATCACATACCCAAGTTTTACATTATTGTGATATCAAGGCCAAGTGGTATGGAAAACCCAGGAAAGATTTTTTTTTTTTTTTTTTTTTTTTTAACCATAAGAAACGGGAACCAGAGTGGACAAGTACATATCCAGTAAAAGTGAAAGTCTACACTTCATTTTTCAGGCAGGTGCACCATTCTGCTTCCTTTAAATGTCCATTTCTATAGAAGTTAGTTACACCATAAACATTAAAAACATTAGCTCCCATCTTTTCCAGCATGTCAAACATAGAACATTGTCCACAAAAAAAACCGTTCTGGAATTTCATGATGAAACTAAGCACACTTCGTTTGCGAAAAATATTCCAAAGAAATAAGAGAACATACAACATATATACATATCACACACAAAGTAACAACTAATCCTCCTGCTGCGAAGGGGACAAAACCACAAAGGATTAAAGAAATGGTAACGAATTTCCAACAAAATATACCTTTCCATGGTGTTGGATGGCGGTGGCAATGCCACCGGCATTGACCTCCACGAGAGACTTGTCAACATAGAATGCAGCCTTCTGATGAGGATTTTCTCCATACCGGAGTGAAGTCTTGTGGGACAAAGGTACTGTCATGCTGAGAGGAAACTTATCTGCAAAGATAATATGTTCATGAACATACCATCCAAGCTTTATGAAACATTTATGTGCCTCCAGTTTAAAAGATTAGAATGTACACTGATAATTATTTTTCATGAGTTACCAAAATTTAGATCAATAATCAATATTATTTGTTCTAACTTTTTACAGATCTATTGTCCTGCTATCAGAGTTTTTATTCTTTTCAGCAACTCTAAATTTGCATATTCTGATGTACAAACAAATACCTCCTTCAGTCTGCTTCCACAACCATTCTGCAACTGCCGAATCATAAGAAGCAACATGCTGAAAAGCCTTCCAAGCAAGTCTCCTCCTGAAGTGCTGGTCCTTCTGCCCTCCTTGGAGATATTCTAACAGTGCCGGATAATCATTGGAGTCAACAACAACTAGGACATCCTTATGATTCTGCTAGTGAGAAAAAAGTCAATAAGAATTTGTTATGAGAAAAAAGAGAATGACTTTCACAAGACAATCCACATAATAGCCAGCATTGATCTCTCTATGTTGTTTGTGCATACGATGACATGAATAAAAATGCACATTATCATAGAATTCAGGGAATATGTTCTTTTTTCCCTTTAATGAACACACTTAGTCTTTTGACACAAAAAGGTACAACTCTCTTTCGCATAATGCTAGGATTTCATATTGTAGTGATGATTATGGAGATGAAGTAAAGGTAATACAGAAGTTGTCCAACTAATTTGCAAAAATAAAATTCTCTTTTTGGTATAGCTCGGTCAAGACAACCACGGAATTAGCACGAAGAACCTCTATCCTCTCCTCAATTTTTGGCTGTAGCTATTGCTTACTATTATAAACAAAACAATAGAGATAACATTACCTTGGCAGCAGCTCTAATCATTGCAGGTCCACCAATATCAATGTTCTCAATCCCATCCTCAAACGAGATTCCAGCAGATGAGGACACCTTGTCATAAAATGGGTATAAGTTCACCACTACCACATCAAATGTACCTGTCAATAAAAAGTGGCGAGATGGCTCATGCATCACAACAGAAATTACCATAGAGGAACAAATTGAAAGAATAATCGAAAAACAAAAGTTTATCATCATTGATAACAAGTTGCTATACAACTTCAGGTGATTATGTTACAAGAGATGAGTACCGCTGCATTTGAGACAGTGTCCATAATAAAGCCAACTTATATGCACATTTACATCCATTATCATTACAAGTAACAATTAAGAATTTATATACAGAAGCAAACTTAAAATGTTCTCCAACAAAGGGGAGTCATCAACATAAGAAATGGATCGACTGCAACAGGCATGAAAAAAGAAAAGAATAATTGGCTTAACATTAAAGTCAGAATTCATGTGGCAAATAGTGGTGTTTCATTACTCGAATGTAAAAACTTATTAACAAGAGCGAAACAATAATACTTTCCAAATGAAAGTAGACTGCTGGAAACAGAATCTACAGAAGGCAAAGTAGAAACAATTAACAGAAACTCGTCATTCAGCTTTGGACACCGCTAATAAGAAATGAAAAATAAAGATAGGAAGTGCAACTGGTCTAACAGATAACAAATTATTTACTCACTGATCCCATGATTTTCAAGGGCTTCCATGTGATTGTCTTGATCTCTTCTTGCAAGAATACCTCCATGGATATTAGGATGTAAAGTTTTTACACGGCCATCAAGCTGTAAAACACAAAGAAAAATTAAGAGATTTGCCCTTTCGCCATGCATACTAAACCACTCTAATTAGAACACACCAACACTTCTCCATGTAAAGTGAATTGGGTGATTCTACAATGTAACATTTGCAAGAGCACTACATTAATGGACAACTAAACAGCTTTGGACATAAATTGTTAATAGCTCATGGTATACATCATAGATGAGATCAATGCACACAAGAAAAAAGTTCGCATTATGCATACAATATACACAAACACAAGTTACTAAGCCAAAATGTTCATAACAGTACTTGTAAACAATAAGTTACTAATTTTATAAACCAAGAATTTTACAATCTTATATAGAATTATCTTAGTGACACAAATAAAAGTTACGGAGAAGTAGCTAAGCTATTTCACATTTCTAGATGCAAGAGTGAAATTGGTTCTATTTGCTTGATTAGCTTTACTTTCTTCATTTTATTTTATCTTTGTTTTTTTCCCTCATTCTATTCTTTTTTTTTTTTAATCTTAGCAAAACAAGAAACAAAGCAGGGAAAGCAGATAAGAAAACCATTGAAAGGACTTTGAGCATTACTAGGGAACTCAATATTTCATAAAGACAAAGGAGATAGAGCCTACCATTTCAGGAAATTGAGTAAGCTCCTCCACCTTGGTCACAGACACACCAAAAGTTTCTAAAGCAGATGCTGTTCCTCCCGTGGAAACAATTGTGATTCTTTCAATGAAAAGATTAGGTCATTAGTAGTTAGTAATTATTAGAGACCAAAATCCAATATGCATTTTGGAAACTGAAGCCAGTTATATTGTGACAGTAGACAAAACAATTAAGACATCAAAGAATAAATTCCTCCATGCATCCAGTGCATCAACTTTTCTTCCTTTATGATACCATCTAGTACTCAATGTATTGAAAGGAAATGAAAATGATAAATCTTACATCATTGTCAATACCTAAAACAACCACATAGTATAGTTGCAGAACGTATAAGAACACTAAATATGAAGGCAACTGTAATTTATAAGTTACAAACTGACACTTATCAAGTCGGTGATCATCCTTCCTGGTGCACAACCACTCCTTCAGCACTACTGATGTTATCCCAATGTGTGCTTTGAATAATATTGTCAGAAAAAGATAAATTATTGTCCATTGACCTCCGTAATCAAACATTGATTCATCTCTCCACAAACTTAAGCATCCCATGAACTATTTGACAGAATACTAGGAAATATAACTAATTTCTGCTAAATTTAACTCTTCGGGTTCAAATATCATTTTGTGATATTAGCCCCTCAATCATATCATCAGAGTTCAACACAATTCATTCAAACATCACACCTTAGGACCACTATGTTGTAGACTTGAATTCTCAATTCACACCAACGAACTACTACTTCACTACAAAAAAAGGTCAGGAGTATTAACCCAAAAGAGCCGACTAACAACTTTAATTAACATCGTCAAAAGCAAAATATTCAGAGCCAATATCCAAGATTTCAACTGAACTTTAGACAACTAGTAGTTCATGAAAGTCCAGAAAACTTCATAACAGCTAAAGAAAGCAACGAAATCCCATTGCATGAGGACCTTACCCCAAGTCCTGTAGTCCATTACCAAGCAAAGCCAGGTCCTTCTTATCCGACAATGAAATCAAGGCTTGCCTCTTCGCTATAACACAATTATAA